AGGGAAAGACAATTATTTTGTGTTAGTTCGATGTGGATATGCAACCACTCTACTTTACATGACGTGGGTAATCTCCTAAAACCGTTTTTTTAAATTTTTGTAACCTCCTTACAACCTATCGAATAATTTTCTTTGTGTCCTTTAAAGATTATTTCGAGAGGTAGTTACTATGCAGGCTCTGCGTGATATCTAACTTTCGTTTTTCGTGGGTGACACTATGTGGATCCTTTTATAACTCTGTAATCGATAGTCGAAATTTGTTTTTGAGGATGTTAGTATTTGCATGGCAATTGATTTTTATAAGGCCCTCCTTTTAATGATCGCTTCATTTTGTCACGTGTATATCTTGCTCGAGCCATCTATAATTGTTTTCCCGATTATTGAATTATTTTTTGAAACTATCTTCGAACATATGCATAAATTTCTTGCTAACAAAAGTATTATTTATTAAAAATTATTATTAACGTACATAATTATTTTAAAAAATATATTTTAAAATAACAAAGGATGAGTTGAGACGGTTCAAAGTATAAACCCTAAACCCTCTAAAAAAAATTATATTAAGTATAATCTTAAACTTGAATCCATTCAAATTAATAACAGGCCAAGTTAAGATTGTTGATGAATTAGATTTTGCTCAACTGCCTAAAAAATACACATCTCTAAGTTGGTTTCTTATGTCGATGAGAGATTAATTCAAATTTAATTTTCAAAATCATTATAATATTTAAACTTAAAGATATTATAGATTCATTTTCTTTTAAATTAGAGATTCTTTTAATGTTATAATGTAAATAAAAGTTTTTGAGATATCAAGAATCATCCAAATTATACATTATACATACTATTAGGAGAACAGACACATTTGTACCTCTTAATTTTTTTAAAATTAAAAAAAATAATAAAATGAGTAGTTATTTATAAAGTGTGACAAATTTTTATTCTTTAGAATTTTTTTAAAATAAAAATAAAATAAGAAAATAATAAGTTGATAGTTATTAAAAGAGTGTGAAAAGGTTACTTATTGTGTGAGAAAAAAATTAAAAATTCCTTGACTTTCTAACTTTTCTTAAGCAATTGAAAGATATAACAATCCAACTAAAAGTAAATGTCAAAATCGGTTATAAAGAGAGGTGTCTTCTTTATATATTGGTATAAATAATCTAGTGAATGGTCTATTAATTATTCCAAAAATATTTTTATCTTCTTTATATTTTTATCTTTATGTGACAGTTAGTGTACAATTGATTCTACTCACGTCACCCTTGTTGATGTACAACTAATTCAAGTTATGAGTCTTCACATTTTTATCTTCACATGATAGTTGGTGTATGATTGATTTTACTTATGTCGCGCTTGTAAGTGTACGACAAATTCAAATCACGAGTCTTTGCATTTTTATCTTTGTGTGACAGTTGATGTATGACCGCTTTTACTCACCCAATGTTTGTCAGTGTACAATCGATTCAAGTCACGGGTCTTTGCATTTTTTTCTTCGAATGATAGTTGGTATATAATCAATTCTACTCACACCATATTTGTCGGTATACAATCGATTTAAGTTACAAGTCTTAACATTTTTATTTCCGCGTGATAGTTGACGTATGACTGGTTCTACTCATGATGTACTTGTTTGTGTACGATTGATTCAAGTCATAAGTCTTTGCTTTTCTGTCTTCATGTGACAGTCAATGTACAATCGATTATACTCATGTTACTTTTATCAGTATAAGACCAATTCAAGTCACTTGTAATCGAAGTTAAGTTTGTAATATTAAGTAATTACTGGAAAACAAACTAATAAATTATTGAATGTGTGAGCCTACTACTTTGAAAAAAATACCAAAATTAACATTTGATTATATATATATACCAATAATTTATAAACAATATTTTGTTTTTTTTGTTTTTTTTTTACATTATCTTCTAACAATCAGTTTAACAAGTTTATTTAATGTCATCCTTTATTTATTTATTTATTTAAGTTGAATAAATTTCAACAAGTTAATTTTTTAAAAAAAGAAATGATTGTGATAAGTTTTAAAGAAAATACATGTGACTAATAAAATAGTAACCCATATAACTTTTGTACTAAACATAATTGAAAATTTGTATCGATAAACTTAAAAAAAAAAAACTTATCTTTCTAATAGTGAAAAATAAGATCATGACACATGTTTTTTTGTGTACATAATTATTATCAAAATACAAAATTTATAAGGATAATCACATGGACATACAAAATAAATGAGAGATAAAATAAATGTACTAAAAAGTATTTAAATAAAATGATGAGATTGTACAAATAAGTAAAGAAAAGTAAAAGATACACAAATTAGCATAAAATTGTTGAGTTTTGGACTCCCTTCCTATGTGGAGATTAGGCTCGAATTGTGTAATCCCATCATATCTCACTTAACAAGTGGAGAAGAGTTGGATTATGGTAGAGAGAGTGACTCAATTTGAGAAAATAACAACAATATATAGAGAGAAGAGGAGATAGAAAGTTATATGTTACAACTAAAGATTTATTTACCGTTGGATTAGACCGATTTTTGGATAGCAGGTTCATATGACGCGCGACATTTCATATTCAACGGTTGGATCGTCGAAATGAAGTCTAGAGTGAGAGAAAGGTGTCTCACATTAATAACTTTGTTTTGAGACTTTTCATCTTCTTATTTCTTAATTGTAAGCAATTATACTCGATTTTGGTTTGGTTAATTGTAAACACTCTTCATATGGCTAAATTATGCTTGATTTCCTCTAAGGGTTATCGATTAGTCATATTCTAAGTATGAGATATTGGATTAATCTTATTAACCTCATTCTTAGCTTAATTATTAGTTACTATTAAGTGATGATGTCGATTTGAATATGACCCAATTTAATAATAAGACAATTTGCTACTTATTTTTATCTCTTCCAACTTGACGGATCTATGTTGAAATATGTTTGAGATGGTACAATATCAAATTGAAGAAAAAAAAATTAGGGAAAAAGAGTGGATTTAAGTAAAGGTGAAGAAAAACACCACATTCCTTGAAGGAATAATGAAATGAGAGGAACTCGCCAAAAAGAAAACTATTTATTTGATAAGAATATCAAGTTAGATAAAAATAAAAATAAAAAAGAAACAATACTCTCACAGTCTCACTAGGCAAAGATTATTGATTTTATTCAAAATGAGTAAGTTTTTTTTAATGAATAAATGAGTCAAAACTAATTATTACAATGTCAACTTTTAGCCTATTTATTCTTTAGGCCCTAAATCCATTAAGTCCATTTCCAAGAGACCTACACAGTAATGGAATCATCAGAAAATAGTTTTACAGAAACTAATGGAACTATTTCAATCTATTCAATAATTTACTCTCTTTTTTTCTTTTCTAATTTATGAGGAACTGGGTGGAATAAAATTCGTCTAATATTCCATCACAACATGAAGCAATACATTTGTTTATTGTTAGTTGAAATTTATATAAACTAAAAATAAGGAGTTCATTAAATTAAATATACACTACAAGAAAATTATAATATAGTAATACATATTTTATATTGTGTTACTGAAAATTATTTTTACCCATACAATAAATATAATATATGTTGATATATTGTTAAAAAGTATAAATATATGCTATAGTAACATACAAAATTTGTTATTAAATCTCATTCAAAATCAATACTAAAATTATATGTAACTATATGTCAAATAAATATATACCTACGTACATTATATATATTGACATTTTTTGCATGTCATTATATATAATATTTTTTTGTAGTGATAATATTATTCAATAAATTTCAACGTCAACATAAATAATATATTTAGAAGAATGTATCAGAATACATATATATTACTAGCATTTCTCTAATCTTAAAAAAAACATTTCTCTTTTTTTTATCGGCCAAATAAATGCATTATGGAAGCATTAGGGTGCCAAACCCATATACATAAAAGTTTATATGTTAAGAATTGAAATAAGAAAAAAAAATCACCTCCAACCTACCCTACCGGATCATACACTCAACAAGTTCTCAGAGAGAAATACACATGTCTTAGCAAATGTTGAAAGGTTATTTATTTATTTATTGTAACACATCCAAACAATTAATTAATCAGGAGTTTTGATTTTTATTTTTATTACTATTAATATATTTCATTCATTCCATTCTATTCTATTAATTTCATTATAATTTATTTTATTTGATCATGTTCATTTAATTCGACATCATTGAAAAACAACTTAAACCTATAAACCTAATTAATGAATAGACATATACTCAAAAGAAAATGATATACGCCTAACTAAGAAAGAAAAAGAGAGAAGCTTTGAAATATAATTTTTTATTTAAATCATTTTCACATCATTATTTCGTACCCGAACTTCTAAAAGTAAAATAATTTAATAAAAAAAAAAAAAAAAAAAACTAGAGCGATTGCTCAAACACACAGAAACCATGATTCAGAACACTGAAGCCCCCGTCCACTAGAAGATCATGTCCACTAACATACTTGGACTCATCACTCCCCAAATACAAAGCAGCCTCAGCCACATCCTGCGCCTTAAGATCCGTCCCCTTAAGATTTGAATAAAGCGCAGCGACTCCCTCATCGCCAGTGCCAAGAAAACTCCTACTCATATTCGTAGGAACTGCATAAGGGGAAACACAGTTCACGCGTATCCCAAACGCTCCAAGCTCCACCGCAGCATTTCGCACCAGCCCCACCACGCCATGCTTCGACGCCGTGTACGCATGCGAAGCGGTACCACCCATGCGTCCGGCCACACTAGCCGTCGCGATTATGCTGCCACGTCGCCAAGGGATCATCACCCTCGCCGCGTGCTTCATTCCCAGGAACACGCCCACCAAGTTAACGTTCATCACTTCCTCGAACTCCGACTTTACGTTGTCTGCTATGCTGGGCTTGAACTTGCCTATTATGCCTGCGTTGGTGTGCATGATGTCTAGTTTCCCGTACCTGGAAACGGTCGTGTTCACGGCGCGTTCAACGTGTTCCTCGTTTGTCACATCGCAGTGGATGTAAGAGGACGAGTCTATGTCCTTGCAAACGGAGTGCCCTAGCTCGTCTTGGATATCGGCGATCATCACTTTCGCGCCGTGTTTCGAGAAGAGTCTTGCGGTGCACTCGCCTATGCCACTTGCTCCGCCGGTGATCAACGCTACCTTCCCTTCTAGCCTGCTTTTTAAATAATTATTTCAAAAGCTATGACTAAAAAATGTTGAAGAATTTTTGTATATTTTCATAGAACAAATTTTGTGGCATACGTGTGCTTACCTTCTTGCAATAGCAGTGGTGACCAACGAAACACTTGCCATGGTGAAGCTCGCTGGATAGCTAGGAAGATAAGGCCAATTAAAGTGTAATAACTGATTCTATTGATATCTACGTCTTTAGATGGTTCAATGATTTCAACTTTTAATTTGCACCATTGATTAGTTAGTTGTAGTTTTTCCGGTCGAAAGTCGGAATGAATAGCCGAGGCATCTGGACCACAACTCACGAGTAATGGATAAGAAAAGTCGAACTTGTATTTCTCACGTGGATATAATGATAAACAAGAAAATTTGGTTGTCCTAACTAATATTAAAAGAAAACACTCAAATAGCTGCGAAAAATAAGTATAGACTAATAGCTTATGTAATATACTGTCAAAAAAGTCGACGCTATTTTAAGATATAGCGTCAATTTTTTCGACACTAAATTTAAATTGAGTTTAGTGTCAGAAAAGTCGACGCTATTATTTAAATATAGTGTTAACTTTTCTGACACTAATTTAATTTAAATTAATTAAGGTTTAGAGTTAGTGTTGAAAAAACCGTTATTATATCTAAAGAAATAGCGTCAGTGTTTTTGACGCTAAACTTTTAGGGTTGTGTTGAAAAAGCCGACATTATATCTAAAGAAATAGTGCTAACTTTTCCGATGATAAACTTAAAGTAAATTATTTTAAATTTAGCATTAGAAAAATCAACGCTATTTCTTTAGATATAGTGTTGGCTTTACTAATCTAAATTAAATTAGTGTCAGAAAGTTGACATTATATTTAAAGAATAATGTTAACTTTTTCGACACTAAACTCAATTTAAATTTAATAAAAAAAATTGATACTACAATTTAAAATAAGGTCGACTTTTCCGACAACATTAGTGGTTTGAGACAGATAAAAATACTTTTTTCAATCTTATATACGCATATTGTGTTGTGGTGCACTTGATTATCAATTTCACTTAAAACCTCAAAATTCCAAGATCGAGTCTTGAAAATGTTAAAAATATGAACGAATAAATGATAAGCTGAAAAAAGAAGATAAAAAAAAAATTTGTATTCATGTAGTGTCGACTTAACCAACAATAAAAAATTAAAATAAATAAATTTATTATCGACAGCTTAGTCGACACAAAAAAAATTATGTTGACTTATTTAGCGTCAGCTAAAAATCGACAAGCGACCGATAATATTATGTCGGTTTTTATTATTTGGCGAATTTTAAAGTAAAACATTTTTGTAGTATAATTTTGTTTTTTCATTTATTTTGAGACTTTTCTTAAAAGGAGAAATTCTATATCTACTTAAACTAACAACTTGTTAGGTAATATTTAATATTTCCCTAATATATTTAAACACATCTTTAAAAAAATTAAGTTCTATCTATTTTAAATCATTAAAAAGAGTTATTTATTATTTATTCACATACCAAGTTAATAATGTTAGACGTAAAGAAATCTGTTGAGAAAAATCTAAATTTCTAGACTAAAGATAAGATAATTAAAGAATATATATAAGTGAGAGACAATTTTTATCTTACAAATTGATTTTATAGAGTTGAATTATTATTATAACCCACATTTTAAGAATTATCAAGTAATAACAAAACTCAAAAATAATAATTTTTAAATTTTGAGGAAAGAAAAAAAATAAATTTACAGAGATAAATGAAAGCCCACATTTTTTATATGAACCGAAAATATAGTATACACCCATTAAACCTGTGTTTTTTTTTAATTTTCTATTAAATCATATTATTTATCATCTATTTTTTTTCCCATTGGGTATTCAATAACGTATTATGTAACGACCCGCCTTAAGCCGTCACATCAATAACCAATATAACAAACGTGCACAGATTATTCTACGATTAAAAGAAATAAAAAGGAAAAAAAATATATATGAAATAAGAAGATTTTTGGTAAAAAAAAAAAAAAACATAGACATTATTCATAGGAGACAACA